GTAATTCCAAGACACTATTCTACAACCACGACCAAAATGAGTCACGTGAAATGCAGCAGTGGGGTGGGTTCTCCTGCCCTTAGCTTTACTTTTTTCTCCTTTCTTGTGCACATCCACAGCACAACCACCACAAGCTCTAACCCACAGCTGCTCCACACCAGATCCTGCTGCAGAGGGGACCAGCCACCGCCAGCCCGGCTGACCGGCGTCTTCCCGAGTTTGTGCAATGCATCAGGAAACCTGGATGCCAAAACCAAACCGAAAGTAAAAATTCCCCTTCCCAAAGTGCCTGGGCAAACTCTCAAGGAGAGCTCCAGCAGCACCTTACCGGCTGAGTCAGTGGATGAGCCATCTCCTTGTGCTGGGTGCCCCATCTGCCGAGTTTAGCCGCAGCTGAGATCTTCTGCTGGTAGACCCAGAGAGGGGAGGGGGGGGAGAAAGAATAAACCTCCCTGCAAGGATCCCAGAGCCAGAGAGAGGAAATCATACAGGATACAGTAGGGGGTAGAAAATTCCAGCCTCGGTGACAAGGCACCAGTGCCACCACCCCCCAGCCCTCGCCGCAGCCGTCGCCTCTGCCAGAGCTGCGGCGCGATGTGGCTCGGCGGGAGCCTCGCATCCCTCCGCATTGTCTCTCTCCAGTGTGAGCTCCGGCAATCTCATTTCATGGGAGACATCTGGTTTGATTCAAAAGGAAGAAAGGGGAGAGGGGAGAACCGCGCGCTCGCACATACACCGCCCAGCCCGACTGGCTGGGAGCTGGGGAGCGATTGTCACTGCTTCCCTCCTCATTTCAATGAGAAAGGCCAGCCCAGGGAGCAGGGCTGTCCCACGGCCCTCCCAGCATTCCCAGTCTGCAAAGGGGGCTTCGCTGGGGCGCGGAGCCAAGGGCGGGGAGCTGAGCCCCAGCAGCCCCGCCAAGCGTCGCTGCGCCTGGAGCCATCACAAGGCCTTGGGGGGATGGGGGTTCCCCCTTCTCCTTGTTTTCCGTGATTCCCAGTCCTGGTGGACACGCAGTATTGGCCCTCAAATGCTTGTGGTTTTGGATGGGGGTCTTCCCCCCCTTCAGGAGCGTCCACTCCTTCAGGACCTGCCCCATCACGGCCAGACCCCTCACCCCACCCTTCACCCCACCAACCCTGCCGTCACTGCCCGCCTGTGCCCAAGCGGTACCACCCCGAGGTGTCCCTGCTGAGCCACCGCACCTCCCAGGGGTCCCTGCTGTCCCAGTGGGTCTCTGGATGGATCCCCGTCCTGGGCACCTTCGCAGCACGCTCCTGGGTGGGCAGTGCCAGATCTCCACACAAAACCTCCTTGATGGGGTGCAGGTCCCCACACAGCCCCCTCCTTCACCCATTGCCCCTCCATGCTGGGGGGCACATGGTGGGTCCTCACACAGATCCTCTCCTCCTGTGACCCCTCCGTGCCTCGGGTGTGCACAGTGAGTATCCACACAGTCACTCATGGAACCCACAGTGGGGGCTGGAAGCCCCTCCACTCGCGTCTCAGCGGGTCCCCACGCAGCCCCCTCCCCCCATTTGCTGCATGGTGGGCCCCCAAGGAGCCCCCTACACCCGTGTCGCAACGGGTCCCCACGCATTTGGCCAGCAAGTCCCCACAGCCCCCCGCACCCGTTCATTGCACGGCTGGTCCCCCCACACCCCCTTCGGCCATGTCATGGCATGTCCCTCCACTGGTGACACGGTGGGTCCCTGCAGCAGCTCCTACACCCGGGACACGGTGTGTGCCCCCGCAACCCCTCCACCCACCGCACAGTGTGCCTCTCTGCAGCCCCCCACCCGTGTCCCAGCCAGTGCCCCCACATTCTACTCCACTCGTGTCACCGTGGGTCCCAAACATCCCCCCCGCCGTGCCGGTCGCCCCGCCGCCCCCCTCCCCGTGTCACCGTGGGTCCCCACATCCCCCTCCCCGTGTCACGGCGGGTGTTCCCCCCCCCATATCCGCTCCCCCCGCGCCCGCCGCCGCCCCGGTCCCCGCCGCCCCCGTCCCACCGCCCGGTCCCCGGCGCCGCCGCCGCGGGCGGGGGTGTGCCACGGCCGGACTACATCCCCCATCAGCCCGCGGGCCGGGCCGCTCCCGCAGCGCCCAGCCGCCTTCAAACAAAAGAGTTTCCCCCC